TGGATTCATACAGCTTTTTTTTTTTTTTTTTTTTTTTTTTAAGATACGATTTCATCAGGTCACAATCCTCCTGCTTCGACTTCCCCAAGTATCTGGGACTACAGGTGTGTGTGCCATACCTAGCCTTTAGCTTGGATCAGGAATCAAACGCAGGCTTTCCACGTGATCCTAGAGTATAGAGCACAGTGATTCAATAGAATATGCCACTGCCCCTGGGCCAGATTCATACTACTTAAATGAACTTAGAATAAAAGATTAAAAGGAAGGGAAAAAGTAAACCAATGTATTGCCTTTGTTTGAAACTCTGAATTATATTGGCATGACATTGAATTGAACTAATCTGATATTTATGTATTTAGATATTTTTGCACTCATGTGTCTGATTTATCTAACAGCAGGAGAGCAAAGAGTGTTTATACACACTGAAATATATAGGATTAAAAATATAATTTGCTTTTATATATGTTATGAAGAGAAACAGTTTCAGGCACATCCAGAAATCACTAAAGGGGATATGGATGTTAGGAATTTTCAAAGACATTCTCCCCTTAGCTAGGCCATAAATGGCAGACAGGCAAAAAATATTTTTGTGGGTAATAGTTTAATTTGGGGAGGAAGAAAGAGCTCACACAAGTAATTTGAAATAAAGCATTTTAGGCAGATGCATATTCATTAAAAATAAGTAATTATATCTGTGTTTATACAACATTTATAATGTATCTAGTTCTTTCAGAATGATGTGCTCCATCACCGCATGTAGAGTTAGCTTTATAACGTATATTCTGTGGACGATGGTACAAGAAAACATAGGAACATTTCATAGGCTTTTCTCATTTCTTTTGTCTGGTATTATTAATTTGAATGATTTAAACAGATATAAATAAGTACCAAGAAAATGGAAAGCTCTTATCTGTCCATATTGATGTGGAAGTGCTTGAGAAATGGAGAAGCTGTGATTTGTGGTAGAATCCAGAACCCAGAAAGATGTCTAATATGTGATTTAATAATCTGGGAGTCTTTGATACAAACATGGTAGCCACATCCAGGACATGAATGCAATACAGCCAAAGAAGGGAACTAGTAATGAATGGAAAAGTTGATGATTGATCAGTTTACTGGATTATGGAAGGAAGAGTATCCTATATAAGAGACAAAAGCAGGAAATAAGGGTATTGCTGGCAACAGGAAGGGCATTCAATATGGTGATCCCAAATGTGTTTTGGAATAAGAAGTTGAATATTGAAAAATAAGTATCTTGTCTATATTCATCCTTAAGATATTTTCTTTAACCTTGAAGTCATTACTTAGATGTAATAGGTTCAAATATAACTTTTCAAGTTAACTTGAGAATGTTATGTTACAGAAGACTAAAAATGACAAGAAGATAATGCTAGCCTTTTTTTGAATGTCTACTCTTCCTAATACTTGGAAAAAGTTTGAGTATTTTATAGAATTTCAAGTTGCTATTATAGCAGAATCCCTAGAAATACTGACATATTATTGTTTTAAAAAAATTTAAATAATTTTTTATTTTACTTTATTTATCATTATTATCTTTTAAAATTTTGCTATATGGCACATGCATGAGAGGGAGAGAGAGAGAGAGAGAGAGAGAGAGAGAGTGCAAGCAAGCAAAATGCCAAGTCTGGGATTTGAACCATGATTGGCCATATGTAAAGCCAGAACTTTAACCATCATGAGACCTGCTGGCCCCTGGAGTACTATTTTTGATGAAAGCATTGGAAAAACTTAAATAAAGTGTAAAATTAAATATAAAATGTAAAATTAAATGCATTTCATTATGACTACTATCATTATTCCTGCTTTTTCAACATTTAAAAAATTTATTTATTTACATTCTTTTACTTTTATTCTTGATGAAAAATATCCAGCATAGACTGTATATTGGCTCAATCAAGGATGTTACTACATGTATTATTGTCTACAAATAATTTTCCATTTCTTGTTTTGTGTGTGTGTGTATATATATATATTTATGTAATTTTTCCCCCCATGATCCTCTCACTCTCTGCCATTTCCCACCCTCCTCCCATACTGTCTCTGATATCTACAGTTAATTTCCATGCTTTTTTTCCCCACATTGCACTGATTCACAAAAGATCTTAATTAATCTAAATACTTTCAATAGCAACTGCAGCTGATATATACCTATTTATGAATACATGTCTGACTTGAGGCATAAAACTCAGTGAGTAGAATTAACATACTATAAAGAAGCACCTAGCTGGGGCTATATATTATACTGCAGTCATTAAATAGGTATTTTTTAGGCATTTTTAATTTCAAGAAAAAGAGTTTTAGTTTTAATAGTTTAAAATCAAAAAAATATTAAGAGAAGTTTACTTAAGGCTTAAAGTCAAGGAAAAGGTTAGGATTCAGTTCAAACAATAGATAGATGAACCTATCAATAGCTCAAGAGAAAACAAAAGTCCTTAAATCTAGAAAACAAAGCACAGAAGAAAATCAGTAATACTTTGGTCAAAAATTACAAAATCCTATTTCACTAGTTCAGGCTCATGTAATTAATCTCTCTTCTGTTGAATTGTAGTGTTACTATGGTGCAATTTTTTTGTTTAAATTCTGGAAGTTAGCATTCAACATTATTC